TTGGTTGGGAGTAACTAGAAGATCACAAAGTGGCTTTATACAACCCTCGTCCACCAAGAACCTGCTACCAAGATGAAGCATTAATCCTCAACCTAAATGTACAATAAGCTATGAAAATATGACAATAGCTGTGAAGAATTTACTTAATTTGCTCATTAGTTCCCACGGTCGTGGCATTATAAATAGCCGCAGCAGCTGCCTCTTGTATATCAAATACATCATTTTGAAGCAGTTGGACAAGAAGTGAAACAATACCAACCTCAATCACAGCCTGTGTATTAAGTTGACATATCCTCAGCATCCGTCATTTTAAGAAATATAAACGGAAGAGTACTTCAATTTACAAATAGAAACAGAAGTACAAACGTCAAATTCACCGAAACACCAAAACAAACGTACTCCGAGGAAAATTGTAAAACACAGCAAGAAAAAAAATCTTCAGTCTTGATCAAGGGCGGAGCCAAATATGATGTTAGGATGAGCTAAAACTTAAAAAAATTTCGAATAAACTCACACTATAAGAAATTGAGTTTCTGAGGCTATTCTCGTGACATTCACGATAAAAAAATATATGGAACTCCATGAAATAATAATAATAATAAAAAGTGTAGATGTCTTACATTAAAATATTCTACTAAATCTTTGTATTTTTTTACCAAATAGAAAATCGATGCTTGCCATAAAAAATATAAATTGACCGAATCATGAAAGAAATAAGCAAAAATACATAATATCGAATCTAGAGTATATTATTTATTTTGATCATAATATCTTTTTTTCTGGTCAAAATAAGTAATTTTTTTTATATTATTTTGATCATAATATCTTTTTTATGGTTGAAATTAGTAATTTTTTTTATAAATATGAATAAGTAATATATGAAACACATACGTAGAAATTTAAAAAATAACTACTTTTAAATTTATCAAAATATGTATTGTCTCTAAGTACTAAAATGAGTATTTACTTCTAGATCTAATCAATACAAGTTATGTATAATAAAATTTAATTAATAACTATAAGTAATTTTAGTCAAACGTGCATTAAATAGAATATCTAATTTGACAATAAAATATTCACGATTCATGAATGTCATGAAAAGAGTAATTAATAATCGTAACGTCTATAATACAATTTGAATAATTGAGCATTTTCTCTAACTATTAAAATAAGTCATTCACTTCTAGATCTAATCAATACAAATTTAATTATTAATTATAAGTAAATTTAGTCAAACATACATGAAATAGAATATCTAATTTGACAATAAAATATTCATGTTTCATGAATGTCATGAAAAGAGTAATTAATAATCATAGCATCTTTAATACAATTTGAATAATTGAGCATTGGACTTGGGTTGAGATTCAAACTAGAATATTTGGGCCAAAATTTACAATTTCTTAAAGGATTTTATATGGACTGAGGGGCACTACTGAACTGGACTAATGCTAATATTTGGACCAAAATTACAATTTCTTCTTAAAAAATTTATAGGGAAAAATTCATAAATCTCACTTTAAGTTTACACCATTTCAAAAATAACAAAACATCTTTCACATTTCAAAAATCAAAATTTTGACCTATACATACACACATATAAGACATATATATAATATAATTAACCTACCCACCTCCACCACCCCCGTCGTTCCGACGACCGTTTCGACGACTACTCCAGCTAGCGTTACGGCGATTGCTCCGATGACGACGAATATTCCGGTGACTGTTTCTGCAACTGCTCCGATTCCGACGACTATTCCGGTGACCGTTCCACCGTCAAATTATTTCTTCGCCGGAACTCACCACAAGCGTCGCCATCGTTGCCACACACAGCCTAACCCATACTCCACCATCCCCCAGCCCGTACCACAACCAGCCCCCTCCACCACCACCCACAACCAAAAAAAAAAATGTAGCGCCTCCACCACCACATCGTGGACTGCACCGAAAATATCCTCCACCATCGCACCGCACACATCAACCACACACTGCACCACCACAGCACTGCACACCTCCAGGACACTACTCAAAAAATTTTTTTTAAAAAGGAAGAATGGATCTGTAACAGCGGAAAGGCAAAGCGGCATCGGCTCTGTCGCAGCAGCGATTTGAAAGTCATGGATGGGCTTCGCAGCAGATCCATAAAAGTTGCAGCGACGGCGACGAGATGGAGAAGAGTTGCAGCGGTGTCAGTAGTGGAGGAAATTGGAGCTGTTGGCGATATGCGAGAAGTGAGTTCAGTTTGGAGGGGAAGAAGACGGATGCATCATCTCGTTCTCAACTGCGTTTGCCTTCGTCGTCGATTGCCGAAGATGAATAGGTCATCGGTTGCCGGAGAGATGGGTGGTGAGGGGGATTATTTGAACTCAAAAATTAGGGATTTAAGGTGGGGTGGATGGATGTGTGTATATAAATTAATTTTTATAATAATATTATTAATATTTAATTAAATATAAAAAAAATCTGTATCTATATCTAAAATATCTGATTTTTAAAAACTAAAACATGAAATCCGATTTTAGAATTTGAATCTCCAAAAGTAGGGAAATGAGTAATTTCCACAAATTTTTATGGGCTGGGGGACAATGGTGGGCTACAACCCACTAACCTCCGCTCACGGTCTTGATTTTCAAAACAATAATCGACTTGTGATGACTAAAATGTTTTTACTGTAGGATCATTCATCCTTTTTCTCCAATTAAAAAAAGCATAAAAATATTGCTTATTTATCTCAAGGCATCTATTATGAACGCATAGAGTGTTACACTCCACTTATTATAGCCGCAATCAAAAAATTATTTAGTCAAAATAAAAAATTCAAATAGTTAATGTCACGGTCAAATAAGGACTTAAGTTAAACAAATATTTTCATGGGGTTTAATTTGTAATTACTAATACTTAAAAGGCCATAAATAATGCCAAATAAGAATTTTATATTATTAGAATTAAAGGGCTAAAAATTATATAGAAAATGCTACTTATACATAACTATTTACATAATGTTTTACAAAATGACAATGTGTCAAAATATAAATGGGGAAGTTATTTGATTCATAAGATTTTGATCCAATTAAATTCCGCCACATCACCTGTTGGTAAATCATTATGGAAATTGTTATGTACATGTAGCACAATCCAAATTATATTATAAGAAGATTATATATATTAAAATCATGTTTTTAAACCTAAAAAAATAAATTAACAAAAACATAAATATGATTCTTTCTCAAATAATTTATTTACCGTATGTGCTTCTTCTTCGAAAACTTCAAATTAAAAGGGCGGGGGGGGGGGGGGGGGGGAGGTTTTTTTTCAATATTTTATTATTTACCATTTATGCTTCTTCTTGCAAAACTCCAGATTACAAATAGGGAAAATAGCAAGCAAAAGAATTATTTGTTGTAATCTCCAAATTCAGATAATAGCCTTGCCTTTTATTTTGATGCAATTATTTGTTGATAAAAATCGAATATATGCGATGATTTTGAGAAAATGGACCCTTTATTATTTACATAATATATTATTGATATGTAGCAAGCAAGTTTTCTTACACACACACACACAAAAACACAATTTTTACTCAAAAATAGGTATGCAAATTTTTTGAACTCGGATCAATGTCCAAATTGTCAGAAATCTAATTTGTAGAACGAAAAACACATATACTAAATAAGAACAAATTGAAAGTATGATTGTAGTTGCGAATAAGGCAGCAATTATAATTGCTGATTAGTTTACGAAATTTAAAATATCGTTGAAGTAACATATGAAAAGATAAAGGGAAAAAGAATCTACAAACATAAAATTAGCAACTACACAGTTTATTTCAGTAAGAACATGAATATGAAATAAAATTGTAGAACTGTATAATCGTTAAAGGGAACAAATTTGGAAATCGAGGCATGTGTATTACACAGTGTTATTAAAACAGACTCGCTCTCTCACCATGAGTGCTTGAGGTTTCTTCGAGCATCTGTCTCTTAAGATAAAACGAAAAATCAGCACTGCGTTTTTACGCTGGTGAACTGAAATTGTGCTAAAACATGACCACCAAGACTTTGGATAGAAAGAACTTTAAGTAGGGTATGAAGAAAAATGAGAGATTTCCGTATGGAATGAAGAAGAAATTGAATATCTAAATAAGCTCTTATTGAAGGCATGATGAATCGGGAGTTACCAAGTGTTATAGCCACTTGACAGAAATTAAAAAAAATAAAACAATATAGGAAATATAGGTGAAAAATGAACCCTCCTAAGGGGCCAATTTTGGTCCATTCAATTCGACATCCGTGTACGCAGCTCAGCTCGTACACAAGTTTAAGATTTAAGGTACAATTCGGTCCATGATTTATACCTCTTATGGCATACGTGGGTTGATCTATAGTTGATTTCATCCTTAATGTTTTGATCATAACAAACAAGATTAATATTGTTTCTAACAAGTGATTTAGATGACGATAGTTCAATATTAAAATCAATCAAGCATTATAAATCGAACTCAAAATGACAATCAAAGTGAAAGTTAAACATTCAAGTAAAGTTATTTGAGACGAGAACTCAAAAGATAAACGTCAAGAAGGATTAAGATCATGAACATGAGAGATGATATCAAAGAATTATCAAGACGGGACGTCTATGAGGCAAACTTCGAAATAAGGTCAAAGACTAGACTTCTTAGTTCAAATATAAATGTACTAATATTTTAACCATTAGCAATTAATCATTAAAAACTCAAAAGATGAATTTTTATGCACGGCAAAAAATTACTTCATAAAAACGCTTGCAAAAAAATTATTTTTCAAAATGTAAGATTTAAACTTGTTATTTAAACTTTTTACAAGTGTTATCTTGAAAAAATAAGTAAAAATGTCATTCAAAAGCTTATATTTTCAAAACAATCAAGAAAGAAAAATTCGGGGGGAAAACACTGTCTAAGAGGACGTTTGGTTCGTACAACAGACAAACTTTTAACCATTCTGTATTCGACAAACAACGACCAATTTGGTAGTTTAGTTCAGTATGCGGATATCCGCATGGATCGTCCGATTGGTCAGAATTTTTGACATTTTGACTATTATAATTATCATTTCACTTTGCATTCATTACAACAACTAGAAGAGAACGCTATTGTGAAATATGTTTGTGAAAGATCTTCTTTCAGCATACATTTTTACATTTATTTCTTCATAACAAAACTTTTGATTGTTGGATCAAACTTCTTAAATCATTTCTCTTATTAAATTTTTTCATCTCTCTTTGTATTTAAATTATTTATATCAATCTTAAAAATGATATATA